CTTCCCCAGGCCTGCAGTGTCGCTTGGGGTTGTTGTGACCAAGGACCCAGCACTTGGCCTTCTTGAACCTCATACAGTTGGCCTAACACTGAACATCGTCCCCTCTTCCTTCTTCCCCAGCTTTATATGCTGAGCATGACGTCATATGGTGTGGGTCACCAGCTTTGCAGCTGTCCCAGCTGTGTCCCTCTTGTGCACCCCCAGCCTACTAGCTGGTGGGGTGAGAAGCAGAAAAGGCCTTGGCTCTGTCTAAGCGCTGCTCAGCAGTAACTAAAACAACCCTGTGTTATCAAGACTGTTTCCAGCACCAATCCAAAACACAGCCCCATACCAGCTACTGTGGAGAAAATTAACCCTATGCCAGCCAAAATCAGCACAAGGGCTTCTCCTACAGTAACAGCATCTTGACTCCAGACCCAGGCCCTGAGTGGCCTCCTGGATACTGCCTGACTACAGTGCAGTTCTGAGCGTTAGGAAGGAGGGCAGAGTGTTCCTCATCGGATTTGCAGCCTGTCTGTTCTTATGGGCACTCACTTCCCCTCCACAACCCCCCCCCCTCCATTTTCCATTGCAATTCAGGCCAAGTTTTGATGACTAAAGGAGCTTACTTACAAGGTTTGAAAGTCACTAGTAAGTTCAGAAGCACCACACATTGAAGAGCTGACGGAAAGAAGTACATTGCACTGTAATAGGAATTCACTGTTATCAAACACTGGCAAGTGCTTCCTGAATTTTCTGACAGCGCAACCCTGAGCTGTGGAATTTCAAGAAAGCATAAGGTGCCAATGACGCCTCTTTGATGCTCTCCAACCACTTGTAACTGAAGTATTGACTGGTCTCTTTATCTTCCAGCTGGCAGGAATGGCTGTCATTGCCTTTGGTCTATGGCTGCGGTTTGGTGGGGTTATGGCAGACTTTGCTTCAGACAAAAAGTCTCCAGAGTATTTCTTCATGGGTAAGTTAAAGTGCCTGTGATGACAGTAGCCTTTAGCCTTGGTTTCATCCTGGGGCATGTGACACACTTTATGCACTGAATTATATGAAGGCCAACATTCCTGAACTACACCAAACTGGACATTCTGGTGCTGTGCGTCATGTGCGTGATGGCTTTCGTCCTTTCTCTGCTTGGCATCATCTTAGGCCTAACTGAACTCTTCTCTCAGATTTGATCCAATCCTCATGTACCCTAAGTGAATTGTGCTAATACCGTCAGAATAGAAGTTGAGTTGGGTCAGAGACTCCTGGAACATGGGGCTCATGAATATATCCTTCCAGGGTTTTCTGTGCAGCTGCTAGCCAGCAAAACAAGTGCCACTTCTGAATGTTTCTAACACCAGGGCAGCAGTAACACTGGTTCTCCCTGTGTCTGCACACAGAGGCCCTCAGTGTGACTTTAAGTATCGGAGCAAATCCTTCCACAGCTTTAAAGTAAAACTACACAGTGTTCAGTCATCTCAAGAACTGTTTGTTCATCCTAGGCAGGAATCAACTAGTTTCCCAAGCCCACAGAATTGGTGTTGGTCATATCTAATTTTAGGCATTTAAGACAAGTTTTTTTCTCCCTAGGATTTCCAGTTGGGTTTTCTGGAAACGCCACCTGTGTTACGTATCTGTAGACATCCTTAAATAGCAGCTGCCTAGGACTTCCAGCAACTGCATTTCTCTATCCACTGGCAATTGTAGCATTCCTTTACACCAGAAGAGCCAGATTTTTTTCTGGTTTAATATATTACCCCTGGAGATGGACTCACTCAATAAAATCCAATTGGTGCAAACATTTTTGCCATCTACAAGTGCCAGGTGTGAAGGAATACTCAGTCCTGCCTTGCCCATCAAGCCACTCTGACAGGGTGGCCAGTAATGGAAGTTGACCCAAGATGTCCCGTGGCAGTCAGTTACCCGTCACAGGAATATTGCCTCTGACACACCACAGTCCTAACCCCAAGCTTCTTTAATATATGCAGCCAGGCTAAAGGCACAGAGCTGACTCTATAGTACTGTGGGAATAGATGGGTAGAATGTTATGTCCCACACAGTTTTCTGTGGGAGTTTATGAGGCTGAATAAAACCATTCAGATGAAAATGCGATTCGCACCTAAGGGTTACTGTAAAATACCCTGTAGCACCTCCACTGACACAGCCAGCCAGGAAATATTATTTACTTTTTCTCTTACATCTGAGCTGCTACGTCAGCAGCATATTAGATCACTAACTTCATTTCCACATCCATTTTATACCTGCTGAATTTCCTATGCTGTATCTTGGAACTCTTCCCTGCCTCACCAACCTTCGTTTGACCCAGGAGATTCAACAAGACAGAAGGATGTTCGGGCCATCAAAATCAAGTACTGGTGGTTTGTTAGAAACCAGAAAGTAATACATCCTGTGATGTGAATAAGCACCACAGTAATTTTACAACTTTGCAGTGCCGACTGTAACAACGTGTAAACAAGATGTTCTTTGGTGCATGTGTATTTAAATCTCTGAAAGATTTAATCTGCTTCAGTCCTGAATAGGAATTACAAAAGCTATTCAGAGTTGTTAATTTTGGGAAGTCCTAGGCAAGGTTCTTGTAAAAGTTTTGTCATATACCGTGACATTCAGCTATTGGGTTGTCACATGTATTTATAGAGCTGTATGTTGTAAACGTAACTGCTAGCAGAGGAAGTGCTAAGGAACAGGATATAAATATGTTGTGAATTCTTTTAAACTTGCACTTTTGACTGAATTCTAAAGCCAAGTTTTGGCCTTTTTTTGTATTAGGCGTTGTGCTCTGAATAGAGCATTCCTGTTAAAGAAAAACAGAAAATTGTCAGCTGCCCTCCCTCATTACAAATCACGTTAAATGCTCTTGTGACTTCTGAGCAGCCGTTCAGAAGTCTGAGGCTAGCTATCTCTGACTAAGGCGGTGGTAAAGAATGGTGATAAGTTCAGTAATGGTTCTGTGATGGCGGGGGTTTTTTTCAGCAGACAAGGCTGCACTTGATGGTCATGTTCAAGAGCTTTACCTCTCTAGGAGATTTCAGCTCTGAGTCCCCCTTGACAGTTGTGTGTTGGGCCCTTCTCACAGAGACTCTAGGAGTGTTGTTTATTTGGCTTTGTGCTTGCTCTGTAACATGCATGCTGGGTGACAGCCAGAATTTTGCATAGGAATTCTTAATATGGAACACTGTGCAGCACACAAGGAGCAGTCGCCCAGAAGGCTGAAAGAGAAAGCAGATCATCAGTATGACTTGGAGATATAAACATATGGCCATGCATTTAAAAATAATTTCTTTAGCTCTGTTACACTGACCGCTTTTGTGGCTGCCTCGTAATAACCCAAGCCCCTGTGATCAGATCAGCTTTGTGTCAGTGCTTGGAACAACAGTGCAGCTGCATTCAGAGTTTTGTAGGTTAAAGCACTGTCCAGAATCACCATCTTCTGGAAGACACCTAATTTTCTTGCTTCTAAAGAGCAGCACATTCTGCTCTTTTTGTACCTGGATTGAGCTGCCAGCTGAATCTAACCAGCTTCTCTCTTGTGCTTCCTTGTGATTTTTTTTTTTTTCCTGGATCTGAAATGTTGTTTTAGTTTAAAATAATTGATAATTATATCCTTGCATTTTCCATTAGGCCAGAATGAGCCTCCTTAAATAGCCTTGTTCTTTACCAGCAGTCCAGCTCTCTTTTCTGCCCCCTGGAATAGTTCGGGCCATGACTTGGCAACCAGGCCTGTTCATCTTTTCCAGCCACTGAAATGTTTTTGTTGGTTTGAAAACAACTTACAGGCAGCAGTGCTGAGGTCAAGCACATATGTGTTCTTAGTTTTCTGTTGCTCATGGATGGTTTTGTGTTCAGTGATCCATATTTCCCCACTGCAGCTTGCAGTTTTTTAATCTACAACAGCAAAGGTTGGAATTGGAACTCTTTGACCCACGCAGTCTCCATCCACTTTACCAGATGTATCTTACACTAGAGCAGCCTCCTAAAATTGGACATCCTCTCTCTGCAGCTCCCCAACTTTTGGAGTTCCCCCTGCAGTGGCAGGCATGACAATATTTTTATGTTACTCCATCTCCGAGTATGTTTTTTTGTGCCGGTGCTTCAAGTGGTGAGGAAAACTGCAGCTTTCCTGTTCTATTGCAGTTCAGTTCTGGTAGATTTCATACATTCCTCTCTTAGCTGTACTTAAGAGGAAAAAAAAAGGAAGGAAAAAAAAAAAAGGTAATTCAGCAAAGGTCAGTAGCTCGGCAGTTACCTCTTTTATCTGAGCTGTCTGTGACGCTGTACTGACCAAATGGAGAAAAGATCTGTAGAATAACGGGAATTCCCTTGGATTGCTCATTCTTCTTGAGACTCCTGTACCAAGACTCTGGCAAGTTTTTTACCGGGCAGGAAAGTCTTCAACAATCAGAAGGAAAAGAGAGATGCTTGTGTGAACCCAAGATTTCAGCATTGCTGTCTCACAATTCATTCTTTCTAGTAGTGCTGTTCTTAAATTTAAACATACCTAAAGCACAGAAGTAAAGACAAAGTGCCTGCTGACTGCAAGTTGAGCATTTGTGAAGTAAAAACTAACATGGGGACTTTTTAAGGGTCAGTTCAAGACGTGTTCTTCCCTATTTGCTTTTGGTGGATGAAGAGGAAAGTCTGTTCTGGTTCCTCAGGCAACATGGAGAACAAACTCTCTGTATCCCTAATAAATGAAGTGCAGAGGGTCACACCACTGCCAGTAGCAATAGAAATGAAGTGTATGTACTCAAAAGCCCCATCAGGAATGGCAACAAAAACTGGTGGATGTGACTAAATCAACCTGGGTGACTCTTTCGCATAACTGGCAGCACTGAAGCGTTGCTTCTCCTGCACAGCCAGAGCTCACAAACTGTGTTCTGTTCTCTTTGCTCCAGTTCCATGATCCAATCTGTGGTCCAGGCATTCATCAGGGCCAAACCAGTTGTGGACAGAAGTTTCAGGATGGCTTTGTTATTTTCTTGGGGTCTGTGAGAGCATGAGTGATCATTCTGGCTCTGAAAGGTACAGTTAGATGGTGCATGCCTTAGGATATGAAGTCATGTCTGGAGTTGAAGGACATTAGTAGTTTTTCTCCGTAGTAGTGGGTGCCCATACAAACGGGAGTTGGCCAGCAGTTAAGTCCATGTGAAATGCAAATCTCTGCTCCTGTGCCTCATTTTTTTATAGTTCTATTCATGTATTCTGGAGTGAAGAACTATACCCTTAGTCAACAGTATTTTCTCTCCAAAGTCCATAGCCTCTCAAACTCTGTCAGCCTTTAAAATGAGAGCTATTGGCAAAGTAGCCTCTGTGTAGCAATGCAATACCACAAGAGGAGCATCAAATGGTCCTGCCATCATGTATACTGAAGGGGCTTTTCGTCTATACTTAAGACTTAAGCAATGAACTTGTCTTTCTTCCTATCATCTTGTGTGCAGTCCTCTTCTGCAGTAGAGGAAGAGTGGTTTAGAAAAGGCTGATAGTGGCCCAGAGTGGAAAACGAAAGCTGCTGCACTGCAGATCTGCTTAAAAATATGACACCACCACTACCACCCCCCCAAAAAAAACTTACTCAAAATGAAAGTTGTTTAAAAGTTCTCAGTCTCTGTGCTGGATCATAAAACCTAGCAATCAGTTCCTAAGAGTCAGTATCCCACCTGGCAGAGTAAAGGTAAGGCCACCAAAGTTAGAATTCTGACAAAACAAGCTAATTAAGCCTAGTGGAATAAGCTGTCCATCTACCTCAGGTTCCTTGTTTTATATTTGCAATATGCTGAGATTCAGGAGGCTCTCTTTTTTTAATTAATCATTTAGGCATGATAATGCACTTTATGCTTTCTGCCTGTTAAACTGTCCTCCTGGATAAACCTTTCTCCCACCCCACTCTCTTTGCGTGTAGCTATGTAAAAGCTATCCAGTTCCACACAGCAGCAACAGTTGAAGCGACAGTTACGCCACTTC